GGCTATGTTTAGAGAATTATAGGATTATGTATAGGTGTTCACATGACTGCAATTGCTAAGTATAGAATACTTTTGTTCATTTATAGAATATTATGTTTAAATGAGGCTGGCACATTTTGTATGCATTTTAATTTTATCCAGTTAGGCACAAATATGATTTAAATATTGTCTTTGTTTTAAAAATTATATAAGGTTAAATAGTTGTGTAAAAGTGTCAAGTTGACAAGGGGTGGCTTCTGGTAGTTACATACCATATATATTCGTGTATAAGCTGAGTTTTACAGCACATTTTTAATTCAGTTTTGGTGGTAAAATTAGGTGCCTTGGCTGATATTCGTGCCAGCTTATATTCGAGTATATATGATAATTTTGTAAACTTGATAAATGAAGTGTAGGGGTGGAATTTAGCCTGTCAATCAAGTCAGAACCTGGTGATGCCTCCTCATAGGTGTGGCCTTCTCATAAGGAGGGTCCTGAGAACATCTCTCTCTCTTGCTGCCTTCACCACATGGAGACCTGCACAAGCCCCGGAGAAGCGTCCACCGCCATTGGCTCTACAAGCCTTTGCACCCATCGGCAGGTGATGTTCCTGCATTCTGCATTATTGCATGTGGCTTTGTGAGTCTAAAGAGGGACTTTTGGACTAGTATCGGACTTATGGACTTGAGTTGGACTGGGCTGGGATGTTTTCGGATATACAATTATTTCTTGATATAAAGCTCGATCCTATACATATATGAATGTCACTAGATTTGTTTCTCTAGTCAACCCAGCCTGATCCAGGTAATATTGTGGAGTATTTCACTCAACAATAAACTCCATAAAAACAAGTAACCATTGCTATACCTTTTGCCACTGCACCCTTTGCTCACTTACTGAGGGTTAGGTACTCAAGGTCAGGTTCATTATGTGAATGAATTGAATTCGACCTTGCAAGTCTGGCTAGACCAGAGGATGTACACTGGTACAGATAGAAACTGAAAATACAGGGAATCCAGGGCAGATGAGCCCTACAGGACCAGTGGTTGAGTGGCGAAACAGGGAGGGTAAAGGGAGAATGGGTAGGAAAGAGGGAACCGATTACAAGGAACTGTGTGTGACCTCCTCCCTGGGGGACAGACAACCAAAAAGTGGGTGAAGGGAGACGTTGGATAGGGCAAGATATGACAAAATACCAATTTATAAACTATCAAGGGCTCATGAGGGAGGGGGGAGTGGGAAGGGAGGGGAAAAATGAGGACCTAATGTCGGGGGTTTAAGTGGAGAGAAAATGTTTTGAGAAACGATGTACAAATGCACTTTACACAATTGATGTGTGTATGGATTGCGATAACAGTTGTATGAGCCCCTAATAAAATGTTAAAAAAAAAGAAAACAATAAACAAAACAAACAAACAAAAAAAGAAAATGGAGGATAACCCCAGTAGATCACAAAATGGAAGATGACTATATTATTACATAACTGCCAAACCACTGATAACCACAGTCCAACCAAGTTGACACACACCGTAACCATCACAGTCAGCTTTACTCTCACCTCATACCTCGGCACTCATTACTGCCAGATGTACCTTGTTAATGCAAAAAACAGTGGGACAGCAGATTTCTTACTACTGTTGCAAATGCAAAAGGTTGGTAGCAAGGAGAGGGTATATATCCATAAAGCTAAGTCTAGGATCTGGCATAGTATGAGTGTCACATTACCAGGGGGTGGCAGGTTACCAAGCGTGAGCCTGCCTTGGGTAAGAGTGAGCCGAGGAGACTGTGGAACCGTGACGTGGGTGAGTGAACCTGGAGATGAGGAGGAAAAGTTGGCTGCACAGGTCCATTTGGGGCACTCTTCGACATTCCACTGAGAGCAAGCGCAGTGAGAAGCAATGCGTACTCCAGGAGAGTGTGCCCTGGGGAGGGCAAGCCTGGAGCGAGCAGAGCCAGCAAAGCCCAGTGGACAGCGTCTGAGAAGGGACCAGAGAGACAGGCAGAACATCGAGCCGTCAGAAGGGGCATTTTTAGGAAGAGAGAAGTCAGAGTGACAAACATTTCAAGGAAAACATTTATACCAACTCTGGCAATACTGAGATCACTGGTGAAGTCTGCCTGAGACATTTTCTTCCCAGAAAGAACAAAAGTCGGACCCCAGTGTGATTAGGCATTCAATGTAAGTGTGAAGGTAATTATACTGAACGACATGTGTTGAAGGGAGAAGAGAAATCAGACAGAAAGGGAATCTGGATCTAGGAATGTTTTACAAATGTTTACATGCTGAGAGGGCAACGCCAACAGTGAAGAGAGGACAGAGTGACATTCTAGGACAGAAGGGTGGATTGATGGACTAGGTTCTATAAGCCTAATATTAACACAAACTTTTTCTTGTTTCTTTAGAACGTAAACTACCAGGAGATTTAGAGTGAACCAGAAGCCTTCAGATTAGGGAGATCAGAGGCAAAGGGAAGTGGTGAAGTTCGTTCCAGGCAGCGGAGTGCTGGCAAGGATAAGACAGTGCGGAGACTTGACTGTGGACCATTTTGTAGCTTTTGAGTTTTGGGGCCACATACATATATTGATGTGATGAAACTAGAATTTGAAAGACATATAAAGTTCCTTGGTGACCCTGATGAAGTGAATTTTAGTATAAAGACAGGAAAAGAAGCCAGACAGCAAGAGGATCAAGATGCCTGCTGTCGTCCGGCCTACTCTGACTCCGGGGAACCCCGTCTACAACAGAACAGAAGGCTTCTTGGTCCCGCACGTCTTCTGAGCCTCCTTTCTCAGCCTGTGCCTTCTGTGTATTCGGAATGCCCTCCGGCCTGGGGCTCACCTTCCAGCACTGAGTCAGATAATACGCTGTAGTGACCCACACAGTTTCCACTGGCTAATTTTTGGAAGAAGACCTTAGTTTGGACGTTCCGCTGAACCCTGTGCCCCTAGGGTGAATCTGCAGAAATACTGGTAGCAGAGCTTCCAGCATCACAGAAACACAGCAGCCCCCACAGTACTATCCCCGACAGGAGGAAAAGGAAAAGTGAAATGCAGCATATTTCAAAAGGTAATGTGGATTGCCAGAAGATCAATAGAACTTGGAAGAAGTACAGCCAGAATGCTCCTTTGACATCAGGATGGTGAGACTGGTTTCCCATACTTCGGACATGTCATCAGGAGCAACTCGTTCTCGGAAAAGGACATCATGCTTGGTAAGGTAGAGGGGCAGTGAAAAATGATGAGCTGAAAAAAAATTCAACTTACAGCGTCAAATGGACACAATGGCTGCAACAATGGGCTCACACACAACAACTGTGACGGTGACACAGACTGGGCAGTGCTTTCTTTTGCACCGAGGGCTGCTCTGAGTTGGAACTGACTCCAAGCCACGAACAGTAACAAACCTTTCACGGAAGAAGGAAGATGATCGGCCAATGGGAGCTTGACAAAATATAATGTCAAAAGGAATGCTGTTTTGTTCTGAAGAAGGTAAAACCTAATGCATTTAAAACTAGGGACGAGAACTCGCTAGTGGAAATGAGAATGTTAGTAATGCAGCTAGTCAATGAGATCACTGCGGGGAGTAGCCCTGGCTGCAATGTCTAAGGGCAGCAGTTTGAAACCACCAGCCAGCTCCATGGGAGACAGACGGCCCTTTCTCTTCCCGTAAAGAGGCACAGTCTTGGAAACTCACAGGGGCAGTTCTACCCTGCCCATCAGGGTCGCTGTAAGTTGGCATGGACTCAATGGCTGTGACTAAGGAGGCAGAGCAAGTTGTGAGCAGGCACACAGGGATACAGCTTCCACTTTCCCAACACCCAGTGCCCCTGCCCCTTCTATGCCCAGCCCAGCTCCCCAAGAGAAGCTGCTTCTGGGGTGTCCTGAGTAGTCAGTAAGCAAAGTCTCTGCTCCTTTGCCACGGTCGTCAGCATGTGGTGGGGCTTTAAGAGAGGAAGTCCCCCAGTCTTCTGCTGACTGTGAATGAGGCAGTATGAGGCCATGTGCTGCTGCTGGTCCCCTGAAAGTCACAGGGAATGCAGCCAACCTGCAGACGGAGAGCAGAGAAGAAAACTTCTGGGTCCTGATGTGCTTACTGAGCTGCTCGGTCCTCCTTGAAGCCTGGAGCCCATCACCTGCCTGGACTTCCAGGATAACAGCCTGCCTGAGTGGGTGTTCTCATGCTTGCAGCCCATAGAGCTCGCACTGGGAACTGCCTCTTCCACACAGACCAGAAGAACCAGACAAGTGGGAGGCAGGAACTGAGGGAGGCGGTATCTGTTGCTTCTATTTTTTTTTCCCTTAAAGCGAAAGGTGAACCAGATGCTGAGTGAGGAAGAAGATGAGAGGTATGTGGAGCACAGTGAGATGACGACTGAAAATCCTTATCAAAGGGAACATGAAAGTGGGTTTGGTGGGACCCTGGCAGGCAGAGCCGAAAGACCAGGTGAGGGTTGCAGACCTCTGCCAGCTGCGGCCAGCAGAAAACTGTGCCTTTCGGCTGAGTTTGGCACTGGGAATTTGCCCACAGGATGGGGAGAAGAGGAGTTTGAATTATCAGCCCTAAGGCATTGAAGCACAGGGACTGGGCTGAGCTTAAGAGTGAAAAGAGGATGGTGTTGGTGGGTCAGGAAAATCCAAAGGGCCCAAGAGGCTCAATTTAGAAGACTGAAGAATTGTCATGGAAGTGAGAGAAGCTACAGAGTCAAACCCTCATACCAGAGCCAAGTGTCCCCAGAATAAGACAAGGCAGGGCTCGCGGCCCAGCACCCTCACCCCATCCGTGAGTGCTGTTTCAGGATTAGCTCCAGAGGGTAAAATCTAATCTCACTGAAGCGTGAAGCTCACAGATAGGAACTCGCAGGGGCCTCATACTTCCCTATCACCCAGACCATGTGGCCAACAGCAGGCTCATGGCGAAATGTTTCTCGAGCTCTGTGGGAGGAAGGGCACTGCGTGCAGGGAGAACAAGGGGCCCTTCGAGGAAAGCATACCTTAAACAGATCTTGGTAAAGAAAACTCACCTCTGCGTTCATCTTGGCCTGTCCCTGCAGTGGCTGTGAAGACAAGAGAAGAGGTTCAGGACTCTGGTGGTGTGAGCCCAAACTCCAGGCAGATGTTCCCCCAGCCCCCACCCATCTACCACCTGGCGTTCTTTCCTAGAACTTCCTGCTCCACCTGCCTCATTGCCTTACGTCACAACCAACTAGGGCGCCTGGGCTAGTCCCAGCTCCCAGGGGCTGCTGGGGCTGACTTCCTGCAGTTTCTCTAGTGAAGGGGACCTCCAGGCATCCAGCTCCATCTCCTGTCTGGTGCAACAACTGTCAATGTCTGTGCCTTCAAAGAGCTATAGTCTCAGACACCCACAAGGGACATTCTACCCTGTCCTTCCTGTAAGGTTGCTATGAATTAGAATCAACCCGATGGCAGTGAGTTTGGTTTGGGTTTATCTTTTAATGGAACAAGCGAGGCAGTAAGAAATCATGGAACAAAAGGGCAGTGGCAGTTCCCTAGTGGAATTTTCACATTCCATATAGGAGATCTAGGAGCCCTGGTGGGGTAGTGGTTACATAGGCACAAGGCCACTAACCTCAAGATCAGCAGTTCGAAACCACAAGCCACTCTGTGGGAGAAAGATGAGGCTTTCTACTCCCGTAGAGTCACTGTCTCGGAGGGGCAGTTCTACCTTGCCTGATAGGGCTTTTCTGATGGCACTGAGATGTCAGAGACCTGGCCTTGAAACCTGGCCACTGCTTGTCAGACAGGAGAAGCTGTGTGTGGCTACAAGTTGCTAGACAGGTTTCCAGTGGAGCTTCCAACCCAAGATAGACTAGAAAGAAAGGGCTGGCGGTCTACCCGGGAAACCAAGCATCAAGAATTCGATGCATCACAACAGTCTGAAGCATAACCGATCCTGGGGACAGCCAGGACTGGAAAATAGCATTTGTGCTTTCTGCGGCTGAGCCCATGGCAGTTCACAACTCCTCTTCACCCTCCGCCCCCTTTACATGAGCTTTCAGAGGGTTTGCAGTTTATTATGTGAACAGTTTGCTGGACTCTGAGCATTCAGGAGAAGGAAACCATGAGAACAGGTGAGCGGGAGTGAAGGAATAAAAGAGGGGCAGGAGGAGCAGGGAAACACAAGAAGGCAGTGGGCCCTAACAGGGGCTCCCAGGTTAAGGTACTCCTGAGACTGCTGGTTGGAAATGCCGATCAGGGCTCCGGTCCCTGAGATTCTGATTCCGGAGGTCTGCAGTGGAGCCTAAGAACCCACATGGTCTACAGCAGCGGTTCTCAACCTGTGGGTTGCGACCCCTTTGGGGGTCGAATGACCCTTTCACAGGGGTCACCTGATTCATGACACAAGCAAAATGACAGTGATGAAGTAGCAACGAAAATAATGTTATGGTTGGTTGGGGGGGGCGGTCACCACCACATGAGGAACTGTATGAAAGGGTCGTGGCATTAGGAAGGTTGAGAACCACTGCTCTACAGGCATCTGGAGGTTCTGTGCATGTGGTCAGAAAACCGTATTCAAGAGGCGCAGATGGATGAGCCTGCGCCTGCCCAGTCATGTCTCAATGTGGTTGGAATGGGCTGGGCCAAGGGTCAGTTAGAGGCAACTACAGGGATTCATCTGGGCCAAGCCCAGCAAGTGACTGGTCTAAACTTACAGGGAAGTGGACAGTCCCTCACAGAAGGGTCACAAGTAAGGGATGAGTCAGCAAGGGTGCAGTACAGTACCAACAAAACATATAGCATTCCTCCAATTCTTTAATGCTTCCTCCTCCCACGGTCCTAACTCCAGTTCTATCTTAGACAGCTGGCTAACCAGGAAATGTACACTGGTACAGATAAGAGCTATAGACACACAGACTCTAGGGCAGATAAACCCCTCAGGAACAGTAATGGGAGTAGCGATACCAAGGTAGGGGAAGGTGGGGGGAAAGGGGAAACTGATGGTAATGATCGACTTATTATGCCACCCCCACCCCCCATGGGGGACAAACAACAGAAACATGGGTGAAGGGAGACAATGGTCAGTATAAGACAAGACAATAATTTATAATTTATCAAGGGTTCATGAGGTTGGGAGAGTGGGGGTGGGGGAGGAGGGGAAAAAAGGAGGAGCTGATACCAAGGGCTCAAATAGAAAGTAAATGTTTTGAAAATGATGACGGCAACATATGTACAAATGTGCTTGATGCCACAGATGTATGGGTTGTTATAAGAGATGTAAGAGCCCCCAATAAAATGATTTATAAATCAATCAGTAAACTCACAGGGAGGGAAGACCCCTCACAGTTGAGGACCACAGCTGTGGGAGCCCTGATCCCTGAACCTAACCCTACAACTGCCCTTCTTCTCTGTCAAAGCCTAGGAAGAGGGAAGCATCAAGGGAATAACTACAAGTAAAAGTAAAATTACCAGCTGCCACCAAGGCAACTCATGGTGACCCCACGTGCGTCGGGGCAGAAGGCCGTGCGCTTGGTATGTTGAGGTATAGTTTAGGGTTCGTATTATAGAGTGTTTTCCTTGGTAAGTATGTTTTCTGCTCCGCAGGGCTTCCAATGGCTTTCAGAAGTAGATCGCCAGGCCTTTCTTCCGAGGCCCTGGGTGGATTTGAACCACCAGCCTTTCAGTTAGCAGCCAAGAATTTAACCATTTGCACCGCCCCCAGAGAATCCAGTAAAATAACCAGAAAACCCCTTGTTGGGTCAATTCCAACTCACGGCAACCCAACGGGGTAGAGCAGACCTTCCCCGGAGGGCTTCTTTCGCTGGCTTTCTCTGCAGGAGCTGACTGCCAGGCCTGCTTGCCAGTGCAGCGCTGGTGGGTGAGCAGCGGAGGCTGAGGGAGGAAGCTGGCAGATCTTCCGCGCTGGGAAAGATGTTTTCAGTCGTTCCCCTCGTACCTCGCCCCACCACTCCTTCCTCCTTGTATGTGGGTCCCGTGACCCACTCTGGTGAGCACATGTGCTAGTTTCCCTTCTGTAATTTAGAGGCTGGTTCTTTTTGTGGTTTGTTTTTGGTCAGGTTTCCCGAAAACCTGAAAATGAGAACTTGCTAGAAGGGAGACCCTAAAAAGCAGAGGGTGACGGAGCCAGCAATCTTTATCTCCAGGTGACTCAGAGTCAGTAGGGACGGGATGCATGTTGGTGCAGACCGACCGGATCTTGGAAGGAAGATAAAGACCCACAGAGCTAACCTGGGGAAGAAGAGCCCGAACGCAGGCCAGGACAAGTGTTGGCAAAGGGTCCCTGGGAGCAGACCTGGCTTGGCTCCGCCTGCGATCTGGGAGCCCTTCATGGATAGGACCCCACCCTGCTCCGTGCATTAGCTATTTCATTTAAGCCTCCTTTGGAGAGCACACATGGGTGGGAGAGTCAGATAACAAAAAGCACAAATATGAGACGAATAATCAAACCATGCACCTACTGTGCTAAGTACTCTATAATATGGCCCCTCAACTACCAAGCACACTGCCTTCATAATGACCCTATAGGACCACTACAGAGAACTTTGAAGGCTGTGAGTTTATATGGAAGCAGACTGCTCTATCTTTCTCCCGGAGAACATCTAGTGAGTGTGAGTGGAGTGCTTGCTTAACCACAGTGCCATCCCAGGCTCCTAACCGACCAACCTTTGCAGAAAAATGAAAAGCAGTAGCCATCCCACATTAGATGACGTAGGTCAAGTTCAAGGACATGTAATAGCTCGGAGCTCAGGCCTAGTAGCCAAATTGTCATGGCACTGGCTGTAAGTTCTGGATTTTCCTGTTCCAGAGCAAACTCTGGATGGTACCAGACACCGTTTCCAGGCCTTACTCTGATCCAGGTGAGGTTTGTTTGCTCCTGTGAAGAACTAGCCAAGTGACTTAAGTTCCTCATCTGTAGGTTAAAGGGGTTGGACTGGATCTCTGAGGCCTCTTTCCGTTCTAAAACCCTTCCTAGTCCCCAGAAAAGGACATTTAAGGGGCTCTTAAAAGAGGGGAAATGATGCTCAGCCATATGCATGGCCTGAAAAATCCAAACCCACGAGGCTATCCAGACCATAACGCCCCTCCATAGGGTTTGTGATGCTGTAAATCTTTACAGACGCCGAAGGCCTCCTGTGACTCCAAGGAGTGGGGCTGCTGACCTTGACTCAACAGGACCACCAAGGCAAGAGTCCAAAGAACCGCTCTCACTGCCACTGAGTCAATGATGACTCACAGCAATTCCCAGGGGTTCCCTGAGACTAACTGTTTACGGAATAGAAAGGCCCAGTCTTTCTCCTGGTGGTTTTGAACTGCTAACCATGCAAATCACAGCCCAACTCATAACCATTGTACCACCAGGGCTCCTATAGGGCAAGATAACAGAGAGCAAACAAGTCTTCTCAAGATGCCCTGCTGACAGACCTGAGGTGTCTGACACAGGCATTGCAGGAAGAGGGGGGAGGGAATACACTTTCTGACATTATTGGAGGGGCTACACATGCAAGGGGTCTCAGCAAAAGGACGCTTAGCAATTATCTGTTAAAATTACAACCACATTCATTCCCTGACCTAGTGACCTGACTACTTCCTGGTTCTGTCCTCATCCCTGTCCTCCCAGCAAAGATGAGTCCTCGGGGATGGTGTCCCCAAGCCAAATTCATTACACTGCTGGGCCATTGCCCTTATTCTTTTTTTTTAAATAACTGCTTGCTTGTTTTTCTTAGAGAAAAAAAAATGCAGGGACATTTTTCAATAAAATATTACTTTTGGATTCAATGTTCTCCCATAGGACCTGGGGAAAAGAAAGCAAAGGAAAATAAAACGAATCTGTAGGCATGCTAAGTAAGAAGCCTTGGCGGTGCTGTGGGTTAAGGACCGAATTGGTGGTGCAAAACCCACCAGTTGCTTTGAGGGAAAATAATGCTGCTGTCTACACCCCAAAAGATTTACAGTCTCGGAAATCCTAAGGAGCAGTTCTGTCTTATAAGGTTATACTGAGTTGGAATTGACCTGATGGGAGTGGATTTAGTGTGTGTTTGTTTTTAGCCCTGAGAAAGAATCACTCCTAGAAATCCTGTCACAGAAGGGGTCTGACTACTTTGTTTATAAAAAGCTTCCACCTGAGTTAACCTAGCTGGTGCTCCTGGCACTTGGAGGCTCACTGGGCGCTTTCCCTGCTGTTTCCCTTTGAGCTTTCAACGCTCCTTATTAGAAGGTGATGTTGAGGGAGGAGTCACGCCCAGGCCGCAGGTGGTGTGACCCCACCTATGAACACCTGGCCATCCTGCAACTAACTCCTCCCCATACCTTGCTTTGCAAGGCCAGTTAGGGTCAAAGAGGCTGTGGGGTGAGAACTGTATTCTGTAGTTTACATTAGACCTACTCCTGTAACAATCTTAGTTGTACCTCTCAGAGGGATTTGTCAAACACTAAGAAGCTTTAGGTTTTCTGACTTTTGGGGTATTATTTGTATTATGGTTACAAAAGTGTTTCCAGAACACTTGCAG